GAAGAATGTGTGTGTGGAGCAAAGGGGGCGCTTGGGTGGGGTCTCTTGGAGTGGAGAGTTCGACGTTAACTAACTCAAAACTCAAACAAACGGACAGCCATCAGACGGTAGCCAAAAACACTTGAAAAACTGCTGCACAAGGGAGGGAGATGGAGACACTGACAGCGGGGCGGCCAGTGGGCTTCAAGGATCGTGTTGGCCAAAGGCTGGGCTATAAAAAGTGTTTGAGAGCTGCCCCAAATTAGAGAGAGAGTTAAGATTGGCCCCCCAAAGGCAGCGAAAGAGAGAGAGAAAGAGAGAGAGAGAGATTTCAGCTGTGATCTGTAGAAGCTTTTGGCTTCTCTTTGACCTTTTCCCCAGCAGCCACAGCAGTCGCAACAGCAAATACTTTCAGCCATTCCATTCCGAATTCCCCACCAACTTTTTGATGGGGCGTTAACGTTTATCGCTTAAGTGAAAATCAGCGCAGAATATCCATACTCGTAACACTCGTAATAATAAAAATGTTTTTAAGGGGCAGACGGTTTTAAGTTGTGGCATAAATCAGCTGGTCATGTGCGATTAATAAAATTTCCTAAAGGAGAGTGCGGGAAGGCAGATGGGGGCTGCCTTGTTCTGTGCTTTTTTCTGTTGTAAAACGTGTGGCCCATAAAACGCGAACAAGGCAGAAGGCGATCCAGGTGATCATCAAGCATCAGACAGCAGACCCACCTGTTGGTGGGGAGAGCATCGGTGGCAGTTGCAGCCACAGAGCCGATCCAAATGGCGGGGAACGTCAAGTGTAATCTGAGCAAGAAGAAGGAGCCAAACCGAAATGCAGGCCAAACGTGCGGCCAGCTGATGGCGTTGGCGATTGCCGCTGCTGCTGCTGCTGCTGCTGGATGTTGCAACAGCCACTGACCACAAGAAAAAACAAAGGCAAACAAAACAACAACAAAAAACAAACCATAGAAATCACGATTTTCGCTCTGTGGTTGAAAATTGAAAATGTGAACAGCAGACAAATCAGAAACAGAAACATAAACAGCAAAAGCAACCGAAAAAAAACCTCCGCTTGAAGGGGCTCTGCTGCTCTTTGGGCCCAAATTATTTGGCTGGAAAACCACTCGTACAAATATGAGATTGCGAATTAATCAAAAGGCTGCCCACTGCCACTGCCATCGGTGCAGCTGCAGCCCACATGCCCCACAGTCAGACAGAAATCCGAGTGACCCGAGTGGGTGGAAGGTGGAAGAGACTTGACTTACCCGTGTGTATCCTCTGATGGGCCTTCAAATGCGAGCTTTTGGTGTACACCTTGGAGCAACCTGAAAGAAACGAAGGAAAGAAAATGGATTAGGAAATATGAACAAATATGGAAGGGAGAAGGAGGAGAAGCCACAACTCGATTGGGTTGAAGTGGGTTACTGGGCGTTGGCCTTTAATTAGGAGGAACTTCATTTAAGAGAAAGTCACCATCCATTCGGTGGAGAGGCAGTGACATTTATGAGGCACTTACAAGGATGCCCAGTGCCATGCCATGCCATGCCCCCTCGCACACGTACGCTCTAATTGAAAGCTGCAGCATGTACGTGCCGCGCAAAACAATGCACCCGAATCCGAATCAGCAGCCAGTCAAGAATGTTGCACCGCGAGACAGCAGCAGCAGCAGCAGCGGCAGCAGCAACAGGCAGCGACACACGGGCAACATGCAACCAGCATCGACAATCGACAATCGTCGACAGTTGAACGCGTGATTGGTCGCATAGATACGAACCGTACCGAACCGAACCGATACGGAGGACTGCAACTCCGACTCCGACTGCGCCTTCGATCTCCTTGCCAGACATAACTCACTTGTTGCCACAGTCCACAGTTGTGGCATGCAGCAGCAGAGCCAAACCGTTCACCCATCGACTGATGCGTGCGTTTATGGCATAATAACTTCATTTGGGCAGCATTTTTGTTTGCCATACAGTCAGTCAGTCAGCCAGTCAGTCAGCCAGCCAGTCAGTCATTCAATCGCGAGTCCCGTCCCATTCCAAGTCTTAATATTTGTGGTCTTACGCGCATTCTGTGCTGTACTGTAGTTGCTGTAAGTTGTCTAAAAATGGCCATGGCAAACGTGTCAGACAATTGTCAATTATTTATTAGTGGCAACGCACGTAGAGCCAACAGTCTCAGTCCCAGTCCCAGTTCCAGTCCCAGCCCCCAACCATCCATCCACCCATCCATCGAGCCTAGACAGACGCAGAAACGTTCGTCTGGGGGGACTACGCTTTGGAGTCGCTATTTTGTGGGTAAATCTTTTGGCCAGACAATCATTGCCTCTAGCTTTGGGCTTTTAAGTGCTTTTTTGGCCATCCATCGATGGCTAATGGATGGTGCTGATACGCGCCGTGTACAGCATTGAATTTTAGTTGTAGGCAGTCGCTGTATAGCGGGGGAGATGATGGATATCTCGCATCTTTACGCTGAGAGTTCTTTTGATGGATTGGGATGGGGGAATTTTTGAGCAGATCTTCTGTTTTGGGAAGAGTATCCAAGGCGGAAGGAAATACGAGCGGCTGCGGCAGAAGGTCTTTCAATTAAAGATTGTATTCCTGTTAGAGCTTCCATCTCTTGTTGGGAGAATCTTCAGAAGATTTTATTTGAGTTTACTTCCCGTTTTATTGTGTTTAACTGTAGATGATCTTCATGGAGCTGTTCTACCAAAGGATGATTGTTGAATGATGGAAGATCATTCCCAGAACGATTGAAGATCGGTTTCCTCATTGGTTTTCTATATTTATATACCCCGATTCCATGCAGCAGTGACTCAATCGATCTCTCTATCCTATCCGTCTATGACATTGAAAACGCTCTTTGCAACGCTTGGTTGCAACTGTAACAAAAGCCACAGCTCATGGCGGAGGTGGAGGAGTAGGAAACGTCGTCTTACATAAATATGGCAATTGGCTAATTAGAATTACAAAGAAGGCAATAGAAAAAGCGCCACAACGGCAGCAGAGGGGAAACTGTCACACAGTGAGCGACAGCAAGATGCGGACGATGGCAGAAAGATAATAAATAAGAGTATAGATAAATGGAGAGGAAATACGCGTCAAGCATGCGCAATGGGGAACGCACGTGGAGGGGAGCTCGACACAGAGCTAGAGCTACAGCTAGAGATTCCACCTGGATGAGGGGAAGAGGGCGAACTGATTCTCTGTTACGAAAAGTGTCGCAAAGCGCGCGAAATGATAAACGAGAGAAGCGACATGCAGCGAATGCCTAAAAAGATCTACAAACGAGTCGTTTCAGGAGGAGGAAGTGGCTCAGTGGCTCAGTGGCATCTACTAGTACTCACCCACGAAATCACAGTGATGGATGCGACGCTTCTCCAGCTCCGGATTGTTGCGTCGATTGTAGCGCACTGTCCGCACGCTCATGAGGCTGGCAATGTGCGCCGCCGTACCGGGCTGATGGTGCGCATGCCTGCCCCTTCGGCCAGAGGAGCCGCCCGAACGTGGTGGAGGAGCTGCAGGTGCCACGGGCGAGGGCTGCTGCTGTTGGGTCAGCTGCTGTTGCGCGGAAACAGAGGCGGAGGCTGTGAGGGTGGTGAGCGTCGTCCCAGAACCACCGCCAACGCCCAGTAGCTGCAGCTGTGGCGGCTGTGGCAGACCCACCAGCAGTCCGTGACCTTGCTGGTAGGGCGGTGGCGGGGTGGTGCGTCGCTGGGCGGCTGCTGCTGCCGCTGAGGGGCTGCCCGGATCGGAGCTGGGCGGCGTCAGCGGTGGGACGAACATGTGGCGCGTCGAAGACGAGGCCGATGACGAGGAGGCAGACGAGGATGTGGCAGAGGGTGTGCTGGGTGCCGCCGGGGGGCACAGTTGTTGCAATTGAGCAACGCCATGTTGAGCTGTGGGCGTGGCAGTGTGGGCGGATGCAGCACTCGCCGCTGCTGCTGCTGCTGCTGCTGCTGCGGATGGCGGGTGTATTTGGTATTTGGTGTGAAATGTCTGCAACGAAACGGAGGAGAGAGACATTGATGCTGGTGCCACTCCAAGGGGGCAAAGACGAGACTCTCACCTGACTGCTGTGCCAGCTGTAGCCGTAGCTGCTGCTGCTGATGGCTGTCGTGTTGCTGCTGCTGTTGCTACCGTTCAGATAGCCGCCGCCTGATGCGGTGGCATTCAATTGAGATGCGTATTGCTGCTGATAGGAGGAGGTGCTGCTGCTGTTGTTATTGTCGCCGGGGGTCGCCGTTGCCTGCAGCTGCTGCTTGGGGCTGTTGCTGCCACTGTGTTGCTGCTGCTGTGCTAGCTGCTGTTGCAGTTGCAGCTCCACCACCGACTCGACAGCGGGTGGCAGCACCGACGACAGACTGGGATGATGCTGGTACAAGTGCTGCTGCTGCTGTTGCTGTTGTTGATAATGTTGCTGATAGTGTTGCTGATGTTGCTGCTGCTGGTATTGCTGCTGCTGCTGCTGTGCCTGTTGCTGCTGCTGCTGGGCCTGTTGCTGCTGCTGCTGCTGTTGCTGTTGTCGCTGCTGTTTCTCTGTCTTGATCTCCATCGGACTAAGCAGCGGCGTTGAGAAAGTCTCCAGCAAACTCTCATCCAGCGCTTCCATTTTGACCTGTGGCAGCTGCTGTTGCTGCTGTTGCACCGATGTTGCATTGTCCCCATTGCTGTTGCTGCCGCTTGTTGTTGTGTTGTTGTTGCTGCTGCCAGTGCCACCGTTCGTTGTGGCACTCAGCATGAGCGCATTCTCTGGATCGATATTTTGTATTGAGGTAGTAATATCGTCCCAGAGCACTGGCCGCTGATACGCATCGTCCAATGGATCCGCAAAGAGCGTGGCCGTCTCTTTGTTTTTGGTTTCTGTTTTGGGCAAAGAGAGTAGAGAAAATCGCTTTATAATCGTTCGAATGCTAACACATTATGCAAATCAATCGCATGGTTCGGGAATCTATGAGAAATCTCGCGCATATGCATGAAATTTTCTAACCAGCTGCTGATTTGTTTGACTATTTATAGAGCTTGCTGGGCTGGAACTGGCTGGACTGAAGAGAGGCCTACGAATGCGCTATAGCTGAGGGGTAAGTGTTGTGTATCTTTCAGATACAAAATCCACCAAAAATCGCAGCTCATTTGAGGCTTCGTTGAGGCTGGAAGTTGTCTCTTTTTTTGGTTTCCGATTTCACATTTTTCGCTATTGACTTGCGAGATTTCTCCATGCGTGTAACTTTTGGGACTTACCATACAAATACTCCTTGTCCCCGCCCGTGCTGCTGCTGCCGCCGCCTGTGGCTGAGGCTGCACCCGAACCCCCCACATAGCCGAGGGCCACATCGTAGGGCGGACCATCGAAGAGGGGCGTGCAGGCATAGGCGGAGTTTGAGTTTGAGTTGGGGGAGCCGGCGGCATGCTGCTGCTGCTGCTGCTGCTGGGGATCCGTCGAGCCATAACCCACCGCTGACAGCTGCCACGCGTCCGTGGCACCACTCTCGCCGCTCTGCAGGCTGTGCGACTGCTGCTGGTGGTGCAAGTGGTGCGCCGCGTGATGGTGGTGCTGATGGTGATGCTGGTGCTGGTGCGAATTATGATGATGCAGGTGAGGATGGTGGAACTGATGTTGCTGCTGCTGCTGGGTCTGCTGCTGCTGCTGCTGCTGCTGGTGCTGGTGGGTGCCATTGCTGTTGTGGCTGTTGTTGCTGGTGGTGGCAGCCAGAACCTCCAGCTCAACGTCGGCGGGCTCTATTTTGTTGAGACGTCCCATCAGCTCGCGCCGATAGTCCAGTTCCGGGGACTGCAGAGAAGAGACAAAGCAGAGAGCATAAAGTGTTAGTAAATCGTGTGGTATATGGCCCATCTGGTAATCAGAGGAATGGCTCTGCAGCCTCCTCTCTTCCCTAGCCATAAATTTCGATTAAACTTTTATCGCCCAGCCTGCCTTTGCCACACACTCTCTGGGGGCATGCTGGCCCCACTCTACCTCCTGCTGCTGCTATTGCTTCTACTTTATCTTTACGAGTTTGTGCATTTCTTTTCCCCTCTTTCCCTCTCTCTGGCTGGCTTTTCTTTCTTTATTTTTATTCGTTGAAGTTTTATTTTTATTCTGATTTTGATTTGGATTTCGATTTGGATTTGAAGTTTTATTTTTATAGCAGAGAGCAGAGAGCAGAGAGCAGCGACACAGCAGTCTGTCGCCTCAGCCGCTGCTGTTGCAAGTTCGTTGCCCAAGTCTTTCGTTTTGTGGCAAACAAATTGTCGCTGTTTAGTGGCCAACAAAACTCTTCAGTTTCTGGGCATTTGTTTGCCAATTTGTAAGATGATTTATCCGTGGGTTCTTCGTCTCCATAAAATCTATTTATAGATTTTGTCTATTAAAACTGCCTTGCCATTGTCTCTATTTCTCTTTTGTTCAACGTAAAACAGACGAAGATCTTGTCTCTAATTTATGGCAACACTTAACGTTGTTTAGGCAAACATAATAATCATTTGGCAAATTAGTTGTGAGGTTTTTTTATGCTCCCCGGAGAACCGCAATGAAACGCTTTTCACATGCAAATTATGGGATGTGGTGGCGTGGCAGCAGCCCAAAAGGGACAATATATCATCAAAAGTGTCGATCGAAAGGCAGCCAGAAAATAGCCAGCCACGAAAAAAACCCACCAAAAATCTGACTCAAATGCTCGACACTGACTCATGATGCCGATGCCCCCCGTGCCACAAAATTCATCTACGAATATTCAGCAACAACCCCGAACCTAACCGAACCGCACAGAAATGTTGCCTCGTTTTCTCTGCTGTTTTTTATGAGCTGAAAATTTACGAGCATGGCAAATTATTTTAGCTGCAATATTTTGTGCGCCGCAGCATTTTATTGACTGTGCGGGAATACCTTTTCGAGTACCCTGTAACACAGAGAGTACAATAAGCAAGGGGAAAAGTGTAAATGGAGAAATTTAAAGAAGAATTTGATCTACTAAAGTGATAAATCGGATTCTAATCGGACAATTATCACAGGCAGAATAATCACTGGAAGAGTCCTTTGTCTCCCTGAACTCCTATCTTTTAGGCTTAATATCAACCCCGAGCAATGCACTTTTGACTGCATATTTGACTGAAAGCCCAGATTCTTGGGTATCTCCATGTCGAGTTTCGTGTGCCACTTCCGACTGGTTATGTTTTTTTTTGGGGGGGGGGCTTTCTGTGGCGGCGGCCCCAACTCTTTTTGGTGAATAATGTTTGCTCAAAAGCGGGAGGTCAAACATATGGCGTGTGATAATTTTAATAGATTTTCGTGTATATATGTTTCACTGCTGCTCGTATGAGTAATGTCTCTGTTTTGCCCACTGTCCCTCAGTGTGGACTGTGGAGGAGTGATTGTCTCATTGGATTGTGGACTGTGATTTTCCACGAATTGGTTTTCCCTGGCTGCCCGTTGGCAAATGTTCTTTCTGTGGGTCTCTCTGCAAGCGAGTCCAGGGCGCATTTAGTGGGCTCCCCACGCAAATGACCTCATAAGAATGCGTGGCATGTCGTCGCTTCCAGTGCTCGTTTGGAGCCTTGCGGAATCTTTAAGTGGTGGCTCCCCACTTGGGCATTAGCCCCGTAGTTCGATTTGGACTTTGGAGGCAGCCCAAGCAGCCAAGCAGCTCTCTAGGCAACGGTAACCTGTCTTTAGGGCCGCTCTTTCTCTGGGTCTCTTCTCCGTGTGTCTCTCCGTCTCCTCGTCTCTCTTGTTGACACATTGACAGGGCCACTGAGACGGGCCACAAACATGAATTTCAATTATGAACCTGTTGTTGTTGTTCCCTTTGTTGTTGTTCCTTTGGACATTTCTCCATAGAGTTCTTTCCCTCGCTGAGGTGAAATTATGTTCGGGTACTTATAATTTCAATTTATTTTTTATTCTTTATGATTTTTTTAGTGATTCTCTTTGCTTGTGGCACACCAAAGTATTTTTATTTATTTATTTATTCTCTTTTTTGAGCATTAAACTGCCGTTGTCAATAAACGGCAGAACAGAACCTCCGATAAATGGACATTACATTACGTACCATATAATAATTTGCATACATTTGTGGGGGAATATCAGTGGGAGGAGGAGAATGTTGCCTCTGTCCCTGTTTCTTAGGCTTTGAGTTATTTGATTTTTTGTTGCTGTGTTTTATGTTATTGTTTATTGATTTGACCCATTTCGCTGGTGTCGTTTGGTGGGTGTTGATGGATGGGGTCTAGATGGGGCCCATAAAAAAGTGCAACTGTTGTGGTTGCAAGGCAATTTCATATGCAGTGCAGGCAAGGCGTTTGGAAAACGATTATGCTCTGCAGTTAAGCTAGTGAGAGCATTACATTTCCCCTTTTAACTGATTCCCCTCCAACCTCAACTCATTTTATTTATGCGATTCTTTCAATCTCTCCCTAGCCATTTATGTGTACAACTTCAACAGAAAGAATAGGCACAATGATATTAACCTCTTTCAATGAATATTCTGCTCTAGGGATTCCCCCCGATCATATTCGGGGGGAAAAAACTCTTCCTATTTTCCCAGCTTTCCCTATCGTCAGCACAAAGCAAACAAGCCGCCACCTTTTCCAGTATAATTTTTCCCATTTTCCCATAGCTTTGCACTCCCCTTTGTGGCCCCTGCAATTGGCCATGGCCCGTGAATTTTCGAGTGCATTTTTGCGGCTATTTAGCAATTCGTTTTGGAGATTTTTCATAGGTATTTCTGACTTTTATGTGGACTGACACACAGCTCCTGCTGCTGGTGCTGCTGGTGCTGCTGCTGCTGCAGATGCAACTGCAACTGCAACTGCAGCTTCATTAGGTGGTGCTGCTTCTGCTGCTTGTGGCATGCCGCTTTGGCATTTCTCAGGTGAATGGCGGCAACAAAACGTGAGGCACTGCTGCCTGTTGCTTGTTGCCTGTTGCCTTTTAATGGCCAAAAGCGTTAAGTGCATATAAGCACACAAATAAAGTTGTTAACTATTGTTTAACGCCACAGACGGACAGACAGAGAGACAGAGGAGGGCAAAAGAGGGACAAAGACATTGTTGTGGCACCTACACGTGTATTAAGGCCCCCAAACAACAGCAGCAACAATAATAATCCAACAGCAGAAACCATATTTATTTATAAGAAAACAACAAAATAACAAGAAACAGCCCGAGAGCAGAGGGAGAGCATAAAAAATAATGACAAACATAAATATCAGCGTTTACGAGTGCAACGTGACTTCATTTCAAATCGAACAAAATATGCAAAATATCAACCAAGACACAAAACGCACAAAAGCACACACAGACGCAAAAGATATACACACACACGAAGGAACAGTGGGGGAGATATGTATGTGTACAGAGTGACACTAAATGTAAAGCTATTAAATTTATGTTTATTTTTATCAGAGACAAGTAGAAAGAATAGAAGAATTATGTTTAATTCATTTAAAAATTCTGTCTTAAGTGTAACTTATTTTCTTTAAGTGTACAACAAAAGAGAGAGAGAGAAAGAGAGAGCGAACTGTCTGTCACACGTGCTTCGGTTGGTCAAGAACCTCACAAAGACCAAATTTGGCACTTGCTTTGCGCCGCTCTGAGAAATGGAAACATAATTCGAAATACTCCCAAAAAACACACACACACACACACGCCCATACTCGGAACTAAATTCAAATAAAAGGAAAAGAAAGAAAAAATAGCCATTAAATTAATAAATTTGATGTTCCATTATATTCCGCTGTGATGTTTTTGTTGTTGCTGGTACTTTTATTGTGTTGCCTCGACAGGCGCTTTGCATTTTAAAGAGGGGAGCTCCACTCCACTCTTTAAGCCACTCTGCTCCCAGCACACACTCTTTGCCTGTCCCCTCTGTGTGTGTTTTCGGGCACACATTTGACATTTCTTTTGGGGTCTCTCTCTCTTTTCCCTGTCTTTCCGTCGATTAACAGCCATCAATATGCCAAAAATCAAAGAGCCCAAATAAAAATAGATGTCAAATTGCCAACTGTTTTGTTTGATATTTTTACTATTATTAATTTTGAACATTTTCTTTGGAGCTGCTGCTGCTGTTGGCTCTGCTCTTTGGGCCGCTTAGAGATCGCTCCACCAATATTGAGCCATAAAATTGGCTTCATTTTGCGGCTCTGACAGCCAGTTGCTGCGTCGCATAAACTTGATCATAAATGTCGCTAGAGATCGGTGATCTGTGATCCGTGCTTAGATATCTGTCTGTGTTTGAGCAATAAAATTGCTAAGAAATGGGTCCAAATATAATATCAATAACAAAAGCATTTGAACTGCGGGAAGATAATAAATTAAATGCCTAAATGGTTCGCCAGGGAATTGGGTTGTAAAAATCAGAGTTCCACCAGAACTATGCGCCCACATGGAACCCCAAATGGAGGAATTCTAATCAAACAGAGGAGTGGAAATGTATACCTTTACGTGAAGATTTCGTGGCATCTTTTAGTGTAGTTGTCTGGTAATTGCCACAAACAAAGCGATGCGATTCGATTCGATTCAATTCGATTGAACGGCAACTTCATTAACGGCACGTGCCAAATATCAGTCAATAGATCTTTGCTTTTGGAATTCCATGGGTTTGGGTGGGGGGAGCATCTAACAATGGAGGCCTGATGTATCCAGCGGATAAGGCGGCAAAAAAGGTAATTGCTTTGGCCAAAAAGAGAAAAGAAAAGAAAGAAAGAGAGGAGCCACCAGCGAGCACAGACAATCGAATAATCGTTAAATAATCGATGAATTCATTGCGCGAGAGGGTAAGTGCCCCGAGGGCAAACTACAATCGCAAATATTTCCTGAAATTTGTTTCATGAAACGGCTTTTAATGTGCTTAGAAATAGTGAAAGTTTTCTGCCATTAAGACAGGAAACGGCAGCAGCTAGGCGGCAACTTTGTGCCAAGAACAAGTTCGTTGTCAGAGTCATTCGATTCGATTCGATTCGATTCGATTCGAGAATCAATGTCAAATTCCACATTTGACCCTCTTCAAGGGGCACTTCTTTGCAAATTAGAAACCCCTTTTCGCCATAAAAACTAAACGCTGGGCCATAAACAACAAACAAACAGCAACCAAGACAGAGTCTATGCGCAGAAGATCGTAAAAATCGTTTAGTTTTACTCGTTGTTCAGTTTAGCTGTACCACATGCGAGTTGTACGTATGTCCATGACTCATGTGGCAAGCAGCCAGGCAGCAGCCTGCCCAAAGAAACAATTTGCATAAAAAATCGCTGGCAATTATTTTATTGGACCAAGCGAACATAAATCTTGGCCAACGATTGGCGACTGAGGCAGCCAGACGAAGGGAAATGGAAATGGAGATGGCGAGAGCTGAAGAGAGAGAGAGAGAGTTGGAAAAACTATGCCAAATATGTTTTCCGCATTTTCCACTGGCTGTGCAACGTTTTCGCCTTCCACGTTTTGTCGCCAAAAAATATATCAGCATAGCAAATCAAATTTGGAACAGTGGTTGGGGTGCCCCTTGGGGCCCACACTTTGCATTGCAGATGGAGTGGGGTGGAGTGGCGGGGAGTGGCATGACGGCTGCGGCAAGCAACGACAAGTGCAGGTCCATGCTCGACATGCGTTTTGCATCGTTTCGATGTGGTTTTACTTTTCTGTTTGGGAAATGGTCAGTGCCTCACAGAGTTTCCTCTTGCAGTAAATTTCTTGGAACTTGGAACCGCTTTTTGGCATGTCTTTTGTGTGTGTCTTTTGGGCGGTGGAGAGCGATTACATGGCGACTGCATTATTGCATTATTCAGTGTGTATTTTCGAATCGAATGAGGAATGCCCTGCCACCAAATAAACCCTCTCCCCTAGCCACAGCCTCTGCAACATTGCCACATGCAGCAGACAAGCATCCAAGCAGGCAGACAGGCCGACAGGCAGACAGGCAGACAGGCAGCCAGGCAGGCGTGTAGGTATTGACAGGCCATGCAGCTACCTGTTGCACACACTCGTGCTGCAACCTTTACATGGGACATGCCACAGCGAGAATCATTTACACGCGAGCAGCTCTGCTCAAAGGAGAGCTAGAGAGGCTAGAAGGAGGCTGCTTCATGCCGCGCTCGGAGTCTGATTTGGTTTATTTGCTTGTCGCCAGTCGCCCCAATTTGTTGGCACAGCGGGGATGCATCTTGCTGTACACAAACCAAGCAGCTAGAAATATCAATGTAGCTGCTGCAGCCAGCCCCTCCACCTCCTTGTAACACCTTCAGCCCGAAAGCGGAGCTCATCAATTAGGTACCAAACATTCGAAGCTTATAAATATTTAAAGTGTATTAAAGGAGGAGGCACAGATCTACAAAGAGTGGAGATAACTATCTGTGCAAGATCTGTGAGGAATTTAGGAGAATGAGGCCCCTCGGGAAGGTGTCAATTTGACATAAATGGGCACCTCTCTCTGCCAGTCTCTCTCTTGCACTCCTCTCTTATCTGCTGTGCTCGTGTCGTTTACATAATTAAATGAGGTCTTCTGCACTCTCCGCAGTCGTAATGATTTCTAATCGTAAAAGAGGCGCTAAGTGGAAGGGCAAACATTAGCCGCAAAACAACAACAACAAAAACATCTCTCGACCAACAGAAAAAAAGGTGTTAAAAGAAAAGCATGAAACGTTTATCTCTCTCTTGCTCGCTCTCTCTCTATCTCTCTCTTGTCTCGCTCTTTGGTTTCGTTTTCTTAAAAGTCCATTAAAAAAATCAAATGTTGCCTGGTCATCTTTTTATTTTAATAGGGGCAGCTGCAAATTCCACTGCCAAGTCCCTCTCTGCCTCTCTGTGGCAGAACATTCATCAACTCTGATCAAAATTTAGATCATCATCATAAATTTAGTCGAACGCCCTCGCGCCCATATCATAGCACGAGCCGACCCTCAACCCTCCTCCATCCTGATAATGATTACAATGCCTTCGTGGCAGACCCTCAACCCTCAATTGGAGTTCATCTGCTGCTGCCTTGTGCACCCAATCCATCTCCCTTTTTGTTTGTTGTCAGTGCCTTTTTCATTAGCGTTCGGGTTATTAACCACCTTTCTGCCCCGTGTCCCTGCTCCGTGTCTCTTCCCCCACTCCACTCTCGTGTCATGTCTGTCCTTTGGCTGTGTCTGTGCCCTTTTGAGCCCGACATTTTAACACCTTTCTGAAGGTGTGTGTGTGCCCTGTCGCTCTCTGGCATTGGCGTGTGCTGCTGCTGCTGCTGCTGCTGCTGCTGCTGCTCGAGGAGACGCGTGCGAGTCTTTAAAAATTATTTTGCTTCGTGTTTCACTGACAAAATGTGTTTTTTTTTCGGACTCTTTTCAGGGCCTAAAGGGTGCCACGGGAAGAAAGAAAACCAGATGGAGCCTGATTGAAGTTCAGCTAAAACAGATGGAAGTCGTTCCAAAAACTAAGGCTATTTAGCAGAGAAGCAAAGCAGATTGAAAGGTAAGAAAATTGTATTTCATATCTACATTCTGTCTTCGAAAATCTCAAATGTTCATAAACTTTTGCTCCATTGAGAATTGCTTCAATCAGTTCCCTAAACTCTCGACCCCAAAAAGAGTTCACTTTTAATTCTTGCAACCCACATTTGAGCTTGGAATGATTCATTTTGAAAATGTGTTGCAATTCGTATTCCCCTGCTGCTCCGATTCCCGATTCTGCAGCGTTTCAATGGACCTTTTCAAATGCCATTCATTATGCCACTAAACTTATTAGCTACAAATGTGTCTCCTCAATGTGTCACGTTACAGTCCCCCAACGGCGGCATAAATCACTTGCCAAAACAGCAAACGGCAGCACCAACTGGAAGACAGGCAGGGGAACACTGGGGCCACAATTGTTGCAGCGGGACAATGGGGGACAGCAGCCGCAGCAGCAGCAGCAGCGGCAGCAGGCCAAAGAAATGCGTTAATCAATGCAAGAGCCCCAAAAAGAGTAGCGGCGGCAGAAAAGCCGAAAAGCCAATGCCTAAAATGGGCAGTGGGAGAGACCAGCCCACAAAAAATCAGAAAAACAAACTTCAACCATCGACTGTGTCGCACGTGAGTCCCAGATGAGTGGCTGTACAAAGGGAGGAGGGGTCGTAGGGGGCAGACAGACACTTGCCGAGACGCTTGAAACTTCCTCATTTGGCATGACCACAAAAATACACGTAAGTGTGTAACCCCCTTTCCCCATACCCATACCCTCAGTAGCCCGACCCCTGTGGGTCTCAAGTGAATCTGAATCGCACTTCATTAAGACGCTTTTTTCTGTTGTTGTTGTTATTTTATTTTCGCTGAATATTTGCTGTAAAAATAACAAACGAGAAAAACAAAATACTTGCGAAAACCTGAGCACCGAAAACCAAAATGTAAGCTTAAAAAATATTTGCGCTTTTGTTAACGAAAAGGCAACAGCCCAAGGGAGCATTTTGCGTTAATGATGCACATTGTTCAATGAAAATGAAAGCACAGAGCAACTGCAACTGCAACTGGAAGCTGGGAGGTTCAGTCTGCAGCTGCAGAGGCTGTGACCTGTGTTGCGAAAGGATTCCAGGGCTGTGCCGGACATTGTTGTGTGATATTTTTCCCTATAAATGAATGCGACTGTCGCTTTGGATTCAGTCTAAGGCAACAGCTTCCATTTGGGTGGAAGAACTACACTTTTGAACTGTGAATTCGTTGGGATTGAAAGCTCTGTCTACGGACTATCTTTTGCCACAAAATCTTCCTTGTAGCCAACAGTTTTGTGTAACTTTAATAACCTTTTTCGTCATGTTCATCCCTGTAGGATTTATGGGGCCCCACTCAAGCCGATTAGTCTGCCTCTCTCGCGCCAACCCACTCGGACGTCTGACGTCAAAGGCAGCTTCTCAGCTCCCCTTCGTTTGTTGCGCAGGTGGGCGTCAATTGGAGCAGCATCAGCAGCTGCATCCAAAATAAAACCCCAAACAAATGGCAAAACAAGCCGAAATGATTGCCCGCTTCCTGCTCACAAAGCGGGGTGGACAGGGGAGGGGACGCGGGCACTACAGTGTCTGGAGAATTATGCACTAAGCGATTGTCATTACAATAAATTTCGCATATTGTGCGCATAAATTTCGCACAAGCTTCAAAGGAGTCGTCGCAGCTGCCTGCCGTTGCTGCTGCCTCAGTGGGGACATCCATAGCTGGAGCTGGAGAGTTGTGTGGCCCGTGACTCATGTGTGGCTCATGGTGGCTGTTCTTATTGTCGGGGCAGAAACTGGGTCAAATTGCGGCATATTCGTGTGCTTAGAATGCCGCCTCAAACAGGCAGTACGACAGAGCGGCGGTGCGACGGTGCGACAGGGCGACAGGGCGACAGAAAGAGAGACAATGAGTCAACGGATACGTATACGCAATGTGGGCCAGGGTAGTAACTTCTTCGAAATGACATTTTCCACAGCTGGAAGTTTAGTTTTTTGTTTCGGTTTTGTTGTGTTTTTGTGTGTTTTAGGCAGCTGTCGAACTGTCAAAACGTTTGCCTTATCGACATTTCAATTAGCTTCACTTTGAGCCGCGCAGTTCAGGCCGAATGTTGCCGCAGAAATGAGGCAGGCTACAGCTGAAACGAGAGTCTGCCACATTAACGATATAAATTGATAGTTGGCCTGTCAAAATCTTTTGGCATATATCTATTTGGCGTTGACTAGCATTCAAATATCTCAGCCACAAATGGACTCTCCTTCATATGCCGCATGGCTGCTGTATGTCTGCCGTATGCAGATTGTGTGGCAAGTTTAAAATGCCACCAGACATCACCACCAAACAGACAGACAGATGGACAGACACACAGAGCGACGTTTTGTGCTACTGTTTAACATTTTTCAAGTTTTTTCTCTGCCCAGTTTTTTGCTCATTCAAAAGTCTATTGGCTGACTGTCCAATTAAGCATTTATTTTCCAGCATTTAATTAGAGGAGAGATAAAAGCGTTTAGTGATTGGAAAATGGGTGGAAAAATATGACAGAAATTCCATGGGAATGAGGGACATTGATCTGGTCAAGACAAGAGTGGAGTGTCTTGGAATCGCTTTTAGAATTTACTTTCCTTTTTTTCTGTGTTTATATTCTCGCTTGATTAATTTCACTTATTATGGAATGAAACTCTTTCTCCCTCTCTCCACCCAGAATGTGATTTATTTTAACGATGCACCCAAATGAGTTTAATTAAACAAAAGCTTAGAGAATTGGCTACTCAATTATTTGCTGGCTTAACTGTTTGTTTAATTCGCGTGTTAAGTGCATTTGATTTCAACAGTGACATATAAATTATCAGGCGGCAACCTTGGGCAATTCTCAATTCAAAATAATTACAAATGAATTCTCAGCAGAGGCCCAAACAGTGAGGGAGAGGAAGGGAGACACAAATACTATTTTATAGTGTAGAGAGAATCAAAGATTGAGTGAATAATTCTTGTAAAATCAAATAAAAGTAAGACTGAAAGGTACCTCGAGGGCAGACATATTTTGACCATCGGTTTTGTACAATTAATAAAAACAGAAAACAGGAAAACTCACAGCACAAAACCAGGGGCATAAATTATAAGGCTAACATATGTCTGGCTTGCCCCTGCCCCTGTCCCTTCCCCTCTCCTCTCTGGAGGCAACTGCCAATTGCAATCACGACTCAGACGCGGACTCGGGCAGAAACTGTGCCTGCGCCTGGGCCAGAAATCATAGCCATGGCTTGGTACAAATGCGGCATGATGGCCCAAGGGGACGGGCCAGGCAATTACCCACAACTGGGAAATTAAAATGCATGTGCAACAGAAGGGGCAGCAGCAGCAGCCGCTGCACCACCGAGATGAATGCGTGTGGGGCACACACAAAGTTTTCGGAGCTCGGAGAGCTGTATGCTCGGTGACCCCTTGAACCGCCTGCATGCCGCCACATGTTGCTGCTTTTGCCGCTGCAGCTTCATAAAATATGTGACAGCTTTGACACCAACAAACAAATAACCCTCCCCTCTTCGTCCCTCTACCGTGTATCTCCCTTAAGCCCCCACCTTATGCACACCTCTTTAGGGGGCAACATCATGTCCAACAAGATTTTCGTTTAAAATGCGAACAGGTTTCGCTTTTATTTTCCCTCTGCGAGTGCCGCTGCCTGCCCCACACTGCACAACATCGAAGCACAGACACTGAAACTCTTACTTTCCATGGAAACATCACACCTGCTGAGGCACCCAGAACCCATGTTGGACAGTGTAAACCCAATGCGAGAAAGGCACAGCCATCGGAGTTAGAGATTATGCTAATTTTCGGCATTTCATTGAGGAAAAAGAGCCTCCATATCTCGGTATCTATTGGGTTTGGGAGGAGTGGAGTGGAGTCGAGTGAAGGCATTTCATTGAGGCCAAGAGATATTTACGCAACCAGTTAACAGAAAACCCGATTCCCCCGCTCCAGAGGGGTGTCCAGAAAAGAAACAAAACTCCCAAAAATAGACAAAGAAAAAACGAACGAAAGACAAACATCGAAAGATAAATCAATGGGAAAGACGACGAGGGAATAAACAATAATTTGGTTAAATTAGAAAATCGGTAACAAAAATCAATGATGCTGAAAATTTTCATAATAATAGCGTTAATAGGTATCATAACAACGGTGGCCCCCGTACCCAATACCTCGTACCAATACTCATTTCTCAGTCTGAGACAGACCCCAACAATGACTTTTGAGGGAAAGGTGGGAAAATATACTCCCCGCTGGAGTTGGAGTTTTGTCTTTTGGCCAGAGGGGAGTGCAAGGGTCGACAAATTGTTGAATGAAATTGATATGGGAATGAATGGGCTGGGGAAGCTATCGAAAAGAGAGAAATTGAAAGAAACGTTGGAATGGGTACAATTTCAACCAAATTGAATCCTGCTCCATCATATTTTATGCACAATTAGCCAGGAAGTGCAATAAATAAATTTCGCGATTCCTGATTCTACTTGGAATTTCCCGCACAATATAAATGGCGACAATATCCATTCCATTCTTGATTCTCGCGTAACTGTTTCAACGCAAATTTCTTCCTATATACAGCACACACACAGATAGACGCTCTCTATGTACACATACTTCCCGTTAAGCTATGGAACATGCGCAGTCGCCGCTATCCGCTCTACGCTCCACGCTCCGCTCAACGGCTGTTAAGCACCATTAAGCAGCAAAAGCAAACGTCGCCATGTTGAGACAGCCCCCAGTCCCCTCCCAACCCCTTACCAACATCCATGCCCACCCCAGACAGCACCCGACACCCGCTGGAAGCGTCCAACCAGCAGCCGCCAGCAGCAACAACAAGCAAAGGCATTAGCAAAAGCTTTGCGGCAAGCGCAGCAAATCAAAACACATTTCATAGTTTCACAGCGAGAGAGAGACGGAGAGAGAGTGAGAAATACGGCAGCAAAAGCTGTGAGAGTATGTTAGACAGGGGTGCGGTTACAGAGGGGAAGA